TGGGTACACAGTTATCCTTATCATTGCTCCTAGATGTTAACTTCTTCTCAGCTCTTCCATCTGTTCTAGAGATCTTGGAGAATACTTTAGAAGCAGTGGGTGGGGGTGCGGAGGGAATAAAACAACACAAAGTGTTAAAGTGGCGCTAAATTAATAGTGATGGGGTGATATAGTGAGTACAACACAATAAAATGTGACTAAATCAATAAAATGATATCAGTGAATTACTGTGAATATAAAAAATTATATATAATCCAAAGTTCACAGAAATTGTTCCTCCTTCTTTGGAATCCACCACGTGCTGTCTAATAATAACCAGGTGTCTAACAGTGTCCTCCACACGGATGTGCACTCACAGATAGTTGTTGCCTCCCACTTTCATGGTTCGCAAAACAGGCTTCAAAGAATAATTCTCCAAATATAAGCAGATTATAACCAATGAGGTACAACCATCATGGAGGTATAATGGTATATTAATGAATCCATACTTTCCAATGCTTATGTATCATACAAGCATGATATTCCTCAGATTCTTTGACTCCTAGTGAATGTGGGTCAAATACAGCTTAATCTCAAAACAACTACTGTGTCTTCTCTTTCATTTATTCTCTATCACAATTTACCTTGTGAATACAGTTTTCCAAATTATCCCTTACGTCCACATCTACAATCTGTTCTGTGTTGTTTGTGAATAGTAGGTCCAGCAGTTCATTATTTCTAGTTGGGGCATCCACCAGTTGACATATGAAATTGTTCTTAAAGATGACCTTCATTAAATAGTCATGAACTGCTTAGCAACCAGCAACAGATAGTGCTGTCATGTCTGTAACCTGTAATTTAATTCCTTTAGGACTGTGTGCTCCCCCTTGGATAGAAAAAGTGAACTAGAGATTTAACTCTTCATAGGATGTCATTGATTGTACAACACTAGGCAAACAAATAAATGTTTGGCAGCTCCCAAAGGTTGGCTTCTTGTTCACCAGACCATCCCTGCCTCAAGCTTCTGAGCAACCCATTCTTTCACAAATATTTGTAGAAGTAGTCTGCATACCTAGGTGCTTGATTTTATGCACCTGTGGCCATGGATGTGATAGGAACACCTGAATCCAATGATTTGGAGGGGGGTCCAGGGACTGACCATTTGAGCACTTGGGCAGTGCGCGAGGGTCAGTAGGGGGCCCCATGAAATGCCCCTGGTACCTTTTATATGCTTTCTTGGGTGTGTTTTGAGTGTGGGCAAGGACACAGGTTCCCCATGATCCCCTTTTGCCCGGGGGCCCCATGAGTTGTCAGTCCGCCCCTGGGGGTGTCCCAATACTTTTGGCAATATAGTGTAATTTGTAATTATATAGGTGCTTTAGGGCAGCCACATTGGTTCATTACTTTACTGAAAATTCTTACAGTGCAAGTCTGTAAGCTGGACAACTCAATGAGAACATTTCTCTCTCTCTATGGAGCCACTTTATTTCAACAGATGTTATGTGAGAGGCAGAGGGATTGTACTGTACCATTGCAAGCTCCATCTAATAAATAATCTACAAATCTGTGTATTTATTGCAATAACAAAAATATGGAAGCTAAATCTTAAAAAATTTTAAAGCTCAACCCTGTGTAGAATTAAAATGACATGTTTTAAGCTGGCAAACATTCTGCTGTGTTGGGAGGACCTCGCTGTCCTACAGGCATACGTCCAAGTCCTGCAAATCATTTACAGTCATGGCCAAAAATATTGGTACTCCTACATTTCTGTCAGATAATGCACCACTTCGCCCAGAAAACTGTTGCAATTACAAATCTTTAGGCATTCTCATGTTTATTTATTTTGTTTGTATTAGTATGACACAAAAAAGTGAAGAAACAAAAAGCCAAATTTGACACATTCCACACCAAACTCCAAAAATGGACTGAACAAAATTATTGGCACCCTCAATTTAATATTTGGTAGCACACCAATAACTGAAATCAATCACTTCCTGTAACTATCAATGAGTTTCTTACACCTCTCTACTGGAATTTTGGACCACTCTTCTTTTGCCAACTGCTCCAGGTCTCGCAAATTGGATGGGTTCCTTTTCCCAACTGCTGTTTTGAGGTCTCTCCACAGGTGCTCTATGAGATTGAGGTACGTTTTGGCAAACTCCAGTCTGTTTTTTTTTTATGTTTCTGTGCCAGCAGTGGGGTCCTCCTGGGTCTTCTACCATAGCGTCCCTTTTCATTCAGATGGTGACTTATGGTGCGAGCTTACACAGTTGTACCCTGTGCCTGAAGGATAGCTTGAATTTTCTGGAAGTTGATTGAGGTTCTTAGTCCACCATTCGAACAATCCTTTGTTGCAATCTGTGATCAATTTTTCTCTTTTGTCCATGTCCAGGGAGATTAGCTACAATGCCATGGGCTATAAACTCCTTGGCAATGTTGCACACAGTGGACACAGGAACATTAAGATCTTTGGAGATGTACTTTTATGGACAATTATTTGCTGCTCGTGCTCTCTTCTCCTTGCTTCATGTGGCACACAGAGACACACAACAGAAAGGTTGAGTCAATTTTTCAGCATTTTATTTTAACTGGTTGCCAAAGTGATTTCTATATTGTCAGCACCTGTTAATTGATACAGATGAGTTTAATTACAACAGGAGCATCACAAACTTGTAATGCAATTATTTATTACAATTTTGAGAAGGTGCCAATAATTTTGTCCAGTCCATTTTTGGAGTTGTCAGATTTGGAATGTGTCAGATTTGGATTTTTGTTTCTCCACTTTTTTGTGTCATACCAATGCAAACAAAAGAAATGAGAACGCCTAAACATTTGTAATTGCAACAATTTTCTGGGCGAAGTGGTGCATTATCTGACAGAAATTTAGGAGTGCCAATATTTTTGGCCATGACTGAAAGTTATATGGTGGAGGAAGTGCAATTGTACTTCCACTTTACTTCCTGGCTGCAAGTGCTATATGTCTCATAGAAACCACATTCTCCACTTTACTATTTACAAAACACATGGCCTCAGGCTCCATTCTGTCAGGAATTACAAATAAATCTTCACAATGGGACATAGACAGCAAAAAAGACAGAGGTTTTAACCACTGAAATGTAGTGCACTCCTAGTTAGCTAGGAGGAGCTAGAATCCTGATTGTCAGAAAGGAGGGCTGAGTAGCAGCCTGGGTATGATAGTCAGGAGGTCAAATTTAGGTCAGGTCTGAGAGGCTCTGCAGGCCAGCCCCTCTAGAATTTCCTCCTGCTCTAGAGCTTTGGAGGAAGGTCTAGAGGCAGTGGGTAGATCGGAGGAGTGGCTAGCTTGTACTCTTGAAAGATCCTGGCCAATCCCCAACAGGAGGCTTGGCAAAGGGCTGGGACAACCCTTATGGGTTGCCTGAAAGGAGGAAAGCTTTGGACTTCACTGGCTTCCTGAGAGAGGACCACCTGGCAGCAGGGAAGGATCAGCCCAGCTTAAAGACCTGGTAGCAGCCACTGACCCAACAGCAATACAGGAGAAGGACTCAGTAAGTACACATATACCCCCTGGCCGGAAAGAGGAGAGAGCATTTGGATGGGAAACCTGACTTGCTGTACAGCTGGGACTATTGCCCTTCTAGTAGTTACTACTGGATCTCGATCTGTCCAGGGATTCATCTATACATCTGGATTGAGGAGCTTCTGGAGTTGCAGAGGTAAATTGCGAGATGCTGCTTAGCTCTCCAGAGGAGGATTTTTATGTAAAGACTTGTAATATAGTTTCAGGAAGTTTGTCCTCAGTTGCCATTTGATTGGACATCTCATAAACCCCTTACCCTATTCAAGTTCTAAACCCCTAATAAAACTTTAAAACAAAGTTCAAGGACTGGTTTCTGTCTCCTGGTACATGTCTGAAAGGAAAATGCGTGTTGCCTGGCTGTGCAGGACTATAGGGGGACCCAAACTTTAGCAACTCCTAAGGGGGTAGTGCTACAGAATCATTCCTTAATTTACTAAAAACTAAAAAAAAGTTATAGTTTTAGATACTCTTTAAGCAATCAACTGATGGTTTGTTTGGGCTTTACCTAAACATTGCCTTCAGACACAGAACAGGTTAATATTATGTAAGTAAAAGATTCCTTACAAACAACTAGGACCTAAAGATGCATGTCAGCACTTATCATTAACTTAAGTTATACAGAAACTTTAATTACCCTCATTTTATGACAGAGGACTTTGCCCAGTAGTGCATTTTAATAAGTATTTGGGTGTCTAGGTTGTTCAGATAAACAGAATGCACCTATGCAGTTAGTTTTGTTGCTGAAATAAGTTCTGATAGTACAAAGATCAGAAACTTCTTGAGTCCTCATATGATCATCACAAGTATGATACTACTAAACAATATGTATTGCCTGTTGAGGAAAACAGGATTTTTAAAAAAAAAACAGTCAGGTTATACTGCTGCCTACAGGAGGTTGTGGCACTATCAGGATAGGGGTATCCTCAGCAATAGCTTTGGAGGTCATACCCAGACCCTGCTTGACTGGAAGAGTGCTGGGCTAGTCTGGAATGGCTCTGCATTATGGCATTTTCCATACCTTTGTGTACTGGGTTAATTAGACACAAAGCGCTGGGTCTAGGGCTGTTGCACAGTTTCTGGTTTGACCCAGTCTCTGAAAACTCCCTTTGTGAATAAGGCCAAACAAGCTAATGCACTATCTCACTGTTGCGCAGCTGCACATAAAAAAACTATCCCTCCACTGCTAGTTTTTAAACGATAAGAATTAAAGTGTTACTAAACGCAGGACCCCGCATTCACTATATCTAGTCTCCCACAGTACACAGAACATGGAAGTGCAATTATTTAATAATATAAAGTGCTAAATACCTTTTCCCATCAGCAGTATATAGTAGTTTTGTGATTTCTATTAGTGTCCAGCACAGTACATGTTAAAGCTTGTAGGAGTTTTCATTTTGCTCTAGGATGATGTAGAACCCCTGACCTCTTTCTGGACAGTGTTGATTGGCCCTGTGCTGATCACATGCACTCTCCCAAGAAGAAAAAAAAAACAAAAAACCTCTCTAGCAATGCACACCAAACTGAGCATGTGCAGAGTGACTCCACGTGATATGTCTTATCAGGAGATAAGAGGGGGACACTGAAGAAGAAGGGGAGGATCAGAGAAGTCAGGATCAAACAGCGTTTTTACACAATGCGGAGGATTAACCCCTTATGTTCCACAGTGAGTATACCAAGCATGCTTTACTGTATATACAGACTGATTTTACTGTTGTGGGTTTAGTAACACTCTAACCTTAACCACGCAATATGCTTAGGTTTGTGAGTATGCAGACTGCTTCCCACTTGCTGAATGTAATTGAATATAGAAGTTGGAGACATGGTGGGAACCTCCAAAGATTTTTGAGCCCTAATAAAATGCTGTAGTTGTAGGTAGTAGAAGTACATAGACAATAAGGAATGGTTTCTCCAGATAGAACTGAACGTTGTATAACCTGTAACGTGTTAGAGTTGTTTCACCATAGCCCGGACCTTGTGCAAAGCCTATATGTTGGAAAATCCTTGTTAGATTTTGAGAAGTATTATGTTTCCAAACCTTCTGTTAGGGCGGAGGACCCGGTAAAAGTAAGGATTACTAAAAGAGTGGAGTTCCTGCTTGCACTATCCTCCTTTGATACCTATGTAAGGCCACCCAACATCGAATTAAGTTGGTCTGCCAAATAGTACAGACATGGATTCGGAAAAGCTATACCCCCTTTGTCTTTTTGCATGTTGCAATTGTTCGATCCTAATCCTTAGTGTACCATTTTTCCATATCAAAGATATGAAATTCACTATACAAAATATTTTTGTATGATGATCACTGGTGCATTATGAAAAAAATAGAAAAGTTCCAGCATCAGAATCATCTTTACCAAGTTAGCCCTGCCAGCTACTGAGAGCCATAGCCTATTCCAAAGCTTCACCTTATCCCTGAGCCATGAAAGCAGTGGTAGTATATTCATGTAGCTTTAGTCTGTCAAAACTGGAGATATCATTATCCCTAGGCATTTAAATGTAGACATCACCGGTACCGGGCAGGGAGATACCAAATATGAATTGTTGGTTGTTCAAGCTGCATTAGGGGAGATTTTGATCAAATGAACTTTAGGCCTGAGAGCATACTGAATATAGTAGGGCTGCTCTCAAAGAGGAATCAGTGTCTCACAGCAGTTGGAGCAAGTTGTCAGCATACAGCATGATTTATTAATGCAATTCAGCATATTTAAATCCTACGATGTTCTAATTTGACTGCATTAATACCGCCAGTGGTTCAATGCTCAGGGCCAGAAGCAGAGGCAACAAAGGGCACCCCTGTCTGGTCCCCTTACCCAGTCCAAAAAGAGCTGAAATTCTAACTCTGACCCAGATGGAAGCCTGAGGTAAGTTTGTCCAAGCCCAAATTTTTCAAGTATGGCCCACAAATACACCAATTTGACGCCGTTGATCGCTTTATTAGCATCGAGTGACAGTAGGGCCCCTCGATCCAATATTGTCCACTGGGGTCTGCATGTTAATGAACAGCCAGCATAAGCTGACCATCATTGATTTATCTGGCATAAAGCCTGCCTGGTTGGGATGGAAAATATTATTACTATACATTATTATTATACAGGATTTATATAGCGCCAACAGTTTGCGCAATACTGGTGATCACCATGTTCAATCTCCTTGCTAATGCTTTGGCTAGGATTTTGACATCCGATTGTAATAGAAATATCGGCCTATATTAATTGTGGCCTGTGTGCGATTTGTTAGTGTAAGGGATTTCCAGTGAGACGAATCGTGAATAGAAATGCGCATGCGCATAGAAACGGCCGGAGAAGAGTGCTCGGTTGTGCGCATGCGTGCGGAAATGCGCGATCGCGCACGTGCACGGTGAAGATTGGCACCAGACAGGCTATTTAAAGAGTGCCTCTGCCCATGATAGGTGCTGACTGGTCTTCAGCTCCGCCCGTGTCCTGCTTGTTCCTGTGTGATTCCTTTGTTGCTGACCCAGCTTGTTCCTGACCTGACTCTGATTGCTCTCCTGACTGATACTGGTTCCTGACTTCAGCTCTGCTCCTGACCTTGGCTTTACTTCTGATTCTGCACCGTGCTGTCCGCCCGTTGATGACCCTAGCTATTCCTATGACACTGCTCCTGTCTCTTAGAAGATCATCAGTCTTCCAAGCTCATCATCTGCAATAGCTGCAAACAACATCTACTGGTGCTCTTGTCCCCCTGGTCCCTAGACTCCAGTGGGGTCAGGGCTAGTGACACAAGTGAGGCCAACCTTGTCATTTCAGTCTCCCATCAGGTACGTGACAGTCAGGTTTGAAGAGCAAAAGTCTTCTGGCTTTAGCCATGGATGCTATGTTGTATATGAACCTCATTGTGTACCTCTAACAGTCTCAGTAAGAGCAATTCCACATACTGTTTGTTAACAATGGATAAACCATCATCTCCCAATACCTTCAAGGCGAGCAAAGAGCTGGCCACCTCCTAAACTTCCTCCAATGTAATAGATGCATCCAGACTAGCTCATTGGGAGCTGGAAATCTTCGGAAGAGATATGGATTGTGAATATTGTGTTAAGATGTATGTTGAGTTTTAGTTTAGGTTTGATACACCAAAGCTGCCCTCTTCAAACTCACCAATGACCTACTAACCGCCAAAACCAATGACCACTATACTATACTCCTACTACTTGACCTCTCTGCGGCTTTTGACACGGTTGACCACCCCCTCCTCCTCAAAAAACTGCACTCTCTTGGCTTCAGAGACTCCGCCATCTCCTGGTTCTCCTCCTATCTATCGCAGCGCTCCTTCAGTGTTACCTATAACGCTGCCACCTCCCCTTCACTCTCTCTCTCTGTCGGGGTCCCCCAAGGCTCTGTCCTCGGACCCCTCCTCTTCTCCATCTACACCTCCTCCCTTGGCCAATTGATAAACTCCCACGGCTTCAACTGCCATCTCTATGCCAACGACACACAAATCTATCTCTCTACCCCTCACCTCACCCCCTCAGTCTCCAATCGCATCACCAGCCTACTAAGTGACATATCAGACTGGAATATCACTCCACTTCCTCAAACTCAACCTTTCCAAAACTGAGCTTCTAGTATTCCCCCCAGCCCGTGCCCCCCCCCCCCCGACTTCTCCATCAAGATCAACAACACCACCATCAGTCCCACTCCTCACGCCAGGGTACTAGGTGTAATCCTAGACTCCAATCTGTCCTTTCAGCCCCAGGTCCAATCACTGACAAACTCATGTAGACTTCACCTCTGCAACATCTCCAAGATATGACCGTTCCTAACCTCGGAAACCACTAAGCAACTCATCCACTCCCTTATTATATCATGCCTTGACTACTGTAACTCCCTCCTCACTGGCCTTCCTCATCGCAGGCTTTCCCCACTCCAGTCCATCATGAATGCTGCTGCCAGACTCATTCACCTTACTAACCGCTCTGTATCTGCCACCCCTCTCTGCCAATCCTCCACTGGCTTCCAATTGCCCAACGGATAAAATTCAAAACACTAACACTGACGTATAAAGCCGTTCATAATACTGCCCCTAACTACATCACCGACCTTGTCTCTAAATACCACCCAAACTGTACTCTCTGCTCCTCGCAAGACCTCCTACTCTCTAGCTCCCTTGTCTCCTCCTCCCATGCTTGTCTTTAGGATTTCTCATGGGCTTCACTCATCCTCTGGAACTCCCTACCCAAGCTATCAGGCTATCGCCTACTCTGCTCACTTTTAGGCACACTCTGAAAACTCATCTCTTCAGGGAAGCCTACCCCGACCAACTACTGGAATCCCCTACTCCCCCAACCACTCCATCCCCCACAGCTAGTTACTTCTTGCACCACTATCCCCTCCCTCCTAGATTGTAAGCTCCAAGGAGCAGGGCCCTCTAATCCCTCTTGTATTGTTACTGTACTGTCTCCCTCCATAATGTAAAGCGCTGAGCAAACTGTCGGCGCTATATAAGTCCTGTATAATAATAATAATAATAATAATAATACAAAGTACAATAAAACCTGACCACCAGGTAATTTCAGTGCTCCAATAATAGGGGCTGCAGGTTGAACATTCACTATTTTATCCAGCAGACAACCAGTCTGTTCCCCCTCTTCATAGAACGTCAGTTTGGAAAAAATCGTTTTTTTTCTTCAATTTGGATTTAGCCAAACATAACTAAGGCATCTTGTGCAGACAACCAGGCAGCGTTTGTTGTTTCTTAATGATCAGATATGCATGCCTGTTCCAATCCTTGGACATGCTGAGATATTTGTAGTACATGTTCCTTGGTAGCATTTTTAACTGCTGTTATTTCTCAGATTAAGGGCTCGTTCACACTAGGCTGTTTTGCCAACGCTTGCCAAACGCCCCTATAGCGTTTGGCAAGCGTTGGTCCGGTGTTTGCGGAGCGTTTTTAACGCTCGGCAAACGCTCCGCAAACGCCGCATGCGCGGTTTAGCGGCGGTTGCTAGGCGTTTGCCGAGCGTTAATAACGCCCCACAAACGCCTATAATGCATTTGAGTGGTGTTACCGCTCCGCAAACACCCCGCAACCGCGTCGCAACCGCACCGCAAACGCCGGCCGGGCGTTTGCGGAGCGGCACCATAGACGAGAATAGGAGGCTTCAAAGCCTCCTGACTCGACCAGAGGCGTCCGTTTTGCCGCGACGCAACGCGACGCGATGCAAACGCTCCTGTTAGAACAGCACCATGTGCTGTAATGTGCAGAATTGGCAGAGGCGTTTGGGAAGCGGTAAAAACGCTTCCCAAATGCCTCTCTGCCGCCTGCACACAAGGCTAGTGTGAACGTAGCCTAAGACTCCCCAAAGGAAACATTTAAATGCTTCCCATTTTACAAAACTATTTAGAAAGTAAACATGGTCATGAAAGAAATGCTCAATTTGCTGTTCTACTGTGTTATTAGCCAGGAATAAATTCAGTCATTTAACTGCCATGGAGCTTTAGGTAAGTTGGAGCATACTTTGGCTGATATCCAGAGCCCTAACAGGGAGTAGTCTAAAAATACATCTCAGACCATACTGCATTTTGGAGACAAATGAAACTGAGGAGGCTGACACTAAACAAAGACCCATGCACAAGAGAGATTTATGAGTTTTGGAATAGCAAGAGAATTGAAGGGTACTGGGGTGCCTCAATCTCCAAAGATCAGACCAGCATAGTTCGTCTATAATGCGTG